TTTAATATAAAAGAAAAGAAAGCTCTTTAGATACACAAAAAAAATTAATAATTTGACTTACTTAAACATGGGGAGATGAATAGTTTTTCCAACATTTTAATTTTTTACTTCTTACTCCTTCATTAGATAACGTGTAAAAATTTTATTCTCCATTTCTTAATTTGTCCAAGTCAATCTTTCTTTTTTTGATCTCTTCATATTTCAGAAACCCCTATATATTTTCTGTCTTTCTCTTTAATATTCTTACTCACCTTCTTTCTCCAAAAAATTTAAGCTTCCAATAGTTCTATACTTCTATTGCTCTATAAAATCTTATCTAAAATTAAAAATATCTTAAGAAAGACTAGTTGGTTATATTATCAATTGAAAATGAATTATTAGGGAAAATCGACTATAAAAAGGATTATTAACACTTTGTATCTCAAAAAGCTAGAAAAATAGACTTTAAATAAAATATACCGCATAACTTTCTTTTAAAAATTTAGGCTTTAGGCCGGGATATACTTGAGTCACCCCTACTTCTACTAGTGACTTTTACATGATTTTAAGAAAATAATCGAAAATTAACTAAATCGTACTGATACTGACGGGAAACCAACATGATTGAGTTCGAAAAGTCTAATTTTGATTATACATAATAGAATAACTAAAAAATTAGTATGATACAAATTTTATAAAATAATCGGTCGAACCGAACGGTTGACATCCCTAAGGCTCAGCTGTAATTACCCGCTAATATCTCCCGATATTAATGAGCCTACTCCCAATCACTATTCCTGGCTAATCGAAAGGCCTTTAAGACTGATTCAAGTGATCTTGTGATATTGCCTTCGATTAATTAGATGACTAAAGGAGAAGCGCGAAAAAAGAAATTCAAATCCGGAGAAGATAGAACAGGAAAAAAGCTTTGACTATAGAAGAATGATTCCCTCTCCGTTAAACGAGAGCTCATCCACATGCGACACCCTAATTTCTGTGACTGACTTTCTTCTCTATTCGACAGCTTGTTTTATTTTGCTTCAATAATTAAGATCCATAATCTATGGTGGTTTAGCAATTAAATCTCATTAATGGTCTGACTTACTTCAAGTAGAGCTCCATTATCGTGGCATCAGCTTATATTTAATGCTCATGACTCCTTGTTTCACGGCAACTATTCTCATTAACTGTTTACTACTCATATTATATAAAAAATTTAGAAAGCGACAAATTCTTGATATATATATATATATATATATATATATATATATATAAAGTCCTTAATTATAACTTTATTTTAGTTTAGTTGGCTTTCTCCGATGCATAATATTTCTCTATCTATTGTACCCCAATACTATATCAAATTATCAATACTTCTCACAAATGCTTAGGATCGTTTGGTACGGTGTATAAGAATAGTGTTGAATAAGGTGTATTAATAATGAAATGATTAGTAATGTATGAGTTAGTAATGCAAACATTAGTTATGCAAAGATTATTTCTTATCCACTGTTTGGTGTGGTATATTAAAAATTAAAATGCATTGCATAATTTTTAAGAAAATTAGTTGTTTACAAAAATGTCCTCAATATTTTTAACTTTAAGGGACTTTAAGCACAATTTTGTCGTTAGCTATACCAATGCATGTATTAATAGCCTAGGTATTGCTAATATCATGGTTTGCAATGTATTAGTTATACATAGGATAATACAAAATAAGTTGTATAACTAATACTTGCATTAGTAATACATATGTTGAAAAAGTGTACGAAACGAGAGATTAGTAATACCAAAGCTAATGTGTGCATTATTTTCTCTAATGCATCCTACCAAATGACCCGCCCCTAATAAGTAGTGATGTTGTTTCATGACTAGTAATGACTGTACCCCTCTAGCCTATTTAGTGTTTCATGCCGTAAAAAACATACTTATAAAGAAGAAAAAGATCTAAATATCAATGTAATATAGCTTAATCTTTTGAGACAGAAAGAGTATAACTAATTAGAGCTAATTATTTGTTTTTTCATTTCATATATTCATATCAACAAATATCAACACGCCTACTGCGGTAAGTTTCATTTAGCCCACAAAAATGTATGAATTAGTAAACTTTTAACTTGCCTTGCCCAGCAAATGCACGAAAATTTGCATTAAGTCATCATTTTTTTTTTCCTCGTGAATTATTTCAAAATTTTACTTGATTCACAATGGACGACTTAATTAGTTATGATTATTTTCTTGATTAAATGTCAACGATACAATAAGGATTTTGATGGTATAGATTTATTTTTAATCTAATAAATAACACTAACTTAAATATATGAACTGTGTTTATACCATTGGGGAAAAAGCGAAAGGAAGCGTTAGAGTAGCTGGGCCACTGATACATGGGCGCAATCTGAAGTTTAGCAAAGGAAAGCAAGCGGCCCATTAATGTTGCTAGAGTAGCCGACCCACTTGGGGGATTTGCAGCCGTACCCTATATTTGTGCCACCTTTTAACCTGTACCCTATTTTTTAAAATTATTAATTTGGTAGTCATCTCACAAAAAATCCGTAATAATATGACAATTACACCCCTGACAAAAGATATAAAACGATCTCCTCCTCTCCTCTCAACAAATTTATAAAAAAATCAGAAACTTGTCCAGATTCATCTTCAGAATCACACTTGCATGAAGTTGTTTCACCTTGAAGCTAAAACTTCATGCTAATATAGCATGAAGTTGTTTCGCATTGAAGCTAAAACTTCATGCTAATGCATGCTAAAGTTATTTATCGTGTAGTCTATAGTTTTGTCATGAATTTTATCTGAAACTTCACTCTAAACATGCTGAAGTTATTTAGTTCATTTGCTAAAATTTCATACTAAACATGCTGAAGTTATTTAGTTCATTTGCTAAAACTTCAGACTAAACATGCTTAAGTTATTTAGTTCATTTGCTAAAACTTCAGACTAAACATGCTTAAGTTTTTGTCTTGTAGTATGTGATTTTCTAATGAATATTTGTTAATGCATACTGAAGTTATTTAGTTTATTTGCTAAAACTTTAGACAAAATATGCTGAAGTTATTTAGTTCATTTGCTAAAACTTCATACCAAAACATGTTGAAGTTTTGTAACGCAGTCTACAGTTTTGTCCTGAGTTTTATCTGAAACTTCAGTCTAAACAAGCTGAAGTTTTTTAGTTTATTTGCTAAAACTTTAGACAAAATATGCTGAAGTTATTTAGTTCATTTGCTAAAACTTCATACCAAAACATGTTGAAGTTTTGTAACGCAGTCTACAGTTTTGTCCTGAGTTTTATCTGAAACTTCAGTCTAAACAAGCTGAAGTTTTTTAGTTTATTTGCTAAAATTTCAGCCTAAACATGCTTAACTTTTTGTCCTGCAATTTGTCAATAGTCTTTTATTAAAGAAGGGCAAAATCATCTTTTTAAAATACTTTTAACAAAAAAAATGGGTACGGATACAAACGGAAAAACAAAATGGGTATAAGTTAAAAAGGGGCGACCAAATAGGGCGCCCCATGCAATTTTTACGACCGACTTTGTATTTTACCATTTACTTGTAATTTCAGTGTAAAAATAGCACGGGCTAGCCAGTTTTCGAACTGGTAATAGAAAAATAGCCAGCGTTTGCAAGGTCATTGAAAAATAGTCATTGTTTCGCTGAAACACAGAAATTTCCAGCATAATGTACTAGATTATGGAGCTATTGTGTATAAACTTCCAGCATATTATGTTGAAACTCCAGCACACGGAAAGTTACAACACAATATGCGGGATTATGGAGCTCTTGCATATTAACTTCGAGCACATTATAAAATTCCAGCAAATTATGCTGGAGGCTCAAACGTAAAAAATTCGAACTCCAACATATTATGCTGGAATATTCCGAAATTTTAAGAGTGTTTTAGTTCAGATTTTAATTTATCTTTTAATGAAAAGTGACTAAATTTCGATTACTCTTGAAATTATGACTATTTTTCAATTACCAGTTATAAATATGACTATTTATAATTTCCCCCCCCCCCCCCCC